GCAACAAGAGTTGTAGCTTTTTGGTCTGAGAAGGTCAGTGAAATGCCCTCAGGATTTATCTTGAGATCCTGTACCTCAGATTGTAGAACCTTTGACACATGTTTTATAATCTTGGTAGACTAACTCAACTAGTTAAGAAAGGTAATAAAGATAATGCTTTGGTTCTGTCTTTTTTTTTTTTTTTCCTTCTTCCTGAAGATAAAGAAATTGAATCCTACATAACTACAGTTATTTTCATTTTAACAGAAATGAATTTTTTTTGGTATATGCTGTTTTATTGATTTAAAGGAAAATCAAAATATCTTTCCTTTTAAGTGCATGTTAGTAATACTAATGGTAGCTTCAGGCTTTGTCATTTGGCTACTGTAAGCTTGTAGAGATATAACTGAATTGTGAGATTAATAGAATTAATTTTGTTCAGGCTTTTTTTTTCACTTTTTTTGTGGTACTGGGGATTGAACTCGGGACCCCTGCGCTTGCCAGGCACTTATTCTACTGAACTATCCCATGGCCCTTGTTCAGCCTTGTGAATACATTAAAAAGAGTCTATGTATATATGTTTTATTTGCAGTCTGAAATTTTCAGTCATGTGTGTGCTAAGTAAATTATGAAAAGTAGGGTACAGAAATAGCTGTGGATTGTATCCTGGTTTTAAGTCATAATTCTTTTTTTAAATGTATTTAGTACAGGGTGTACAGGGTCTCACTGCACAGATTGGACTCATAGTGATCCCCCTGTTTTCACCCTCTTTAAGTGCTAGGATTACAGGCATGCATCACCATGCCTAGTCTCAGTGCACCTGTGGGTGGGGCCAGCACAGCATGCCAGGGATAGAACCTTTGAACTCCTGTCACTGCGCCTGCCTAACCAGGCATTTTAGTCTGCTGAGCTATCTGCCTAGACCTTAAGTCGTAATTCTTATATTCCCATGTTACTTTTATTACTTTTTGGCTTTGAGTCTATTGGTACGTACCTGTGAATATATTGTGCCCATTTTTGCAGGCTTAGTTTGTTTTATTTTATTTATTTATTTTTTGGCACTGGGGATCAAACTTGGGACCTTGTGTTTGCCAGATAGGCATTTATGCCTTTGAGCTATCTCCCTGGTCCTAGTTTTGGTTTTATTTATTTATTTTAATTTTTTAATAGATTGCAAATAGAAAATAAATTAGTTACAAA